ACATGATGCCTCTCAGTATCTGTATTGCAAACCATACCACCCAAATAAAAAGGGGCTGGAGCGATAGCACAGCGGTAGGGCGTTTGCCTTGCACGCAGCCAACATGGCCGACCCGAGTTCGATTCCTCCGCCCCTCTCGGAGAGCCCGGCAAGCTACCGAGAGTATTCGATATGCCAGACACAGTAACAACAAAGTCTCCAATGGAGACGTTACTGGGCCCGCTCGAGCAAATTGACGAACAACGGGAGGGCCTTTACCTTTACCACCCAAATGGGTGGGGGAGGGGAAAGAGGGGAGGGAAAGGTAAGAAAAATATAAGGGGATGAGGAGGGGAGGAGAGGGCAGGGGAGAGGGAGGAGGGGAGCCTGCCACAGAGGTGGAGGGCAGGAGGGGTATGGGGGATATTGGTGGTGGGAAAGGTGCACTGGTAGAAGTACGGATGTTGGAACATTGTATGACTGAAACTATCATGAAAGCTTTGTAACTTTATCTCACGGTGATTCAATTTTAAAAAAATGAACTAAAATCGGAAGGACAATTTCCATCAAAGGACACCTTTTTCTGATTTGTCGATCCCCAGCTTTATTGTTCTGTCAGAGCTGTCTGCAGTTACATTATGTATCATGAATTATAAAGCTTAATGGACTGGACATGTTCAGAAAGATGAAAAAGATGGAGAAAAACATTTTGGCAGTTCCATATGGTTCAAAGGATAAGTACTTATCCTTAATTCTCAAAGGAGAAAAAGCAGACAGGCAGTACAGAACAATCATTGTCATTTTTCCAACTTCCGTGTTGATGACATCAAATAACAGATGCAAGAGAAATAATTAAAGATGAGAAAGCGGTTTTTATGATCCACTAAAGTGGTAAAATTTTTTTTAGTCAGAAAAACATAAAGCCATTTATCAGATACAACCTAAAATTTGGCCTTTAAAAACAAGTGTTTCAACATTGGATCCAGCTGCTATGGATTCAAGTCATTTCACAGACCAAAGTTTTTAATCTTTTGTTCTGTTTTTCTGAGTCATGTATTAAGTCCACGCCCCCAACCCCTCCCCCCCAAATCTTCAGTTCTGGCCTCCCAGGAAGTCACAGGGAAAGCTAGGGCCCCTTCTAGTGATCTCAAGTTGCTGTTAAACCCTATTCTTTTTTAACAATTAAATTTTTTTTTATTGAATCACCATGAGATAGTTACAAAGCCGTTCATCATCCGGGTTCAGTAACATTATGTTCCAAGACCCATCCCTCCACCAGTGTGCATTTCCCACCACCAATGTCCCCAGTTTCCTCCTGACCCCGTCCCTCCTTTGGGGCATTATAATTTGCAATACAGATACCGAAAGGTAAGTCCTATTCTTAATAAATATAATGAAAAATAGACATTAGTGAGCTATCTTGTCCTGTCTGTCCCAAACACTTCTATAGCTCCTAGGACAAAAGTATGCTTTCATAACCATACATTAAGTTTTTTTCTGGGAAAGAAGATCCTCCTTTTGCACAGGGCCACTTGTGGGCCAGCAGCAGAATCTCACCATCAGAGCTGCATTTTTCTTTTCTTAGTAAGAGGTCTAATACTGGACCAAAAGAAGATCGCCACTGACCTGATTATTCTGTCTCCAAATGAAGAGATCAGATTCTGTGATTTGCTTAAAAGGCAAGAGGTGAGCATACTCCCCCACACAGAGGAAAATCAACCCACTCATTGGCACTATAATCAGTTCATTGAGAACATCGCCAAGACAAGGGCCTCCCTGCTGAAGCTTGCCCTCTCCTTAAATTACATAAAGGCTCTCCTGTTGATCATCGATTTGCTCGAGCGGGCCCAGTAATGTCTCCATTGGAGAATTTGTTGTTACTGTGTCTGGCATATCGAATACGTCACGGGGAGCTTGCCAGGCTCTGCCGTGTGGGTGAGATACTCTCGGCAGCTTGCCGGGCTCTCCGAGAGGGGCGGAGGAATCGAACTCGGGTCGGCCATGTTGGCTGTGTGCAAGGCAAACACCCTACCGCTGTGCTATCATAAAAAAAGGATAATTTAAGAGATAAATGATAAACTGGAAAATGTTAAAGGAGGCGAAAGTAGGATACGTCTTAGCTGGATTTACATTTTCCATGTTAAAAAATGTCTTTAAAAAAAACTCCTGTCACTGTCCTCCCATTGTTCATCGATTTTCTCGAGCGGGCCAGTAACGTCTCCATCGTGAGACTTTGTTGTTATTGTGTTTGGAATATCAAATATGCCACGGGGAGCTTGCCAAGCTTTGCCATGTGGGCAACATACTCTTGGTAGCTTGCCGGGCTCTCCAAGAGGGGCAGAGGAATTGAACTCTGGTCGGCCAAGTTGGCTGTGTGCAAGGCAAACACCCTACTCGCTGTGCTATCAGCCCCTCCTAACTCACTGTGTCAATAATCACTTGGAAACAAATCAGCAGACAAAGTTAAATGGTTCAAGAGCTCTAAGAACCATTCTAATAATCAAGAGCTCTAAGAACCATGGTTCAAGAGCTCTAAAATGGTTCAGTAACTCTGTCTTTAAATAATCCATAGTCACTCATAGTTATGGCTGGAGAGGGATACACACATACACACACACACACACACACACACACACACACACTCAACCAGGGCTGAAAATTGTACACAAAGTGCTAACTTCTAAACACCTCAACTTGTTTCTAAACTTGAAACTCACCTATAAACCTTCCCAAATCCATCTGGCATGACAACTGCCATGTATGTTTTAAAGCAGGTCCCTCTCACCACACATGAATAGACCCACAGAAGATAGTCATGTTAACCTGAATAACTCTGAGTCACTCTCTTGTTTACCAAATTTAGGCAAAAACACTGATTAACCTTCTCAGAGCTTTCTAGAATTTGACTAGTGTCATGGGTTTTTTTTAATCCCATGACTTGGACATTTCAGTAAATTTAGATCCTTCAATACAGAGAAACAGGCCATGTGAACTTCAGTCATCTATCAGAGTGATGGGAGAGAGAGAGAGAGAGAGAGAGAGAGAGAGAGAGAGAGAGAGAGAGAGAGAGAGATCCAGTGCATGCTGGTTATATTTCGGTAGTAGGGTAGCAATCCTTGTAACAGTTTGCTTAAAAGAGCATTGATAAGTGCTGAAGCAACCTCAACATATGCTCTGCTTAGATAAGCAGGAAATTTTCAAGTCACTTCTAAGATAGAGGTCAGTAGGAGTTAGAGGGACCTAAAGGTGTTGTTGATTCCACCATCCTCCACAAACCAGAAAAAAAGAAAATACAGCCCAGTGTTTAAGGAACCAAAAGTACCAGGCTATCCTTTCAGGGAATGATCATGCCTGGGAGGCTAAGAATACCTTCTGGACACTGATTTATTCACAGCCTGTGGCAATTAGGAATGCTTTGGGCAAGAAAAAAGTTCCTAGGACTGGAGTGACAGTTAAGGCACTTGCCTTGCACCTGGTTCCTGGCATCCCAAATGGTCCAAGCACTAGGTAAAGGTAAAGGTAAAGGCCCTCCCGTTGATCGTCGATTTGCTCGAGCGGGCCCAGTAACGTCTCCATTGGAGACTTTGTTGTTACTGTGTCTGGCATATCGAATACTCTCGGTAGCTTGCCGGGCTCTCCAAGAGGGGCGGAGGAATCGAACTCGGGTTGGCCATGTTGGCCGCTTGTAAGGCGAACGCCCTACCCGCTGTGCTATCGCTCCAGGTCCAAGCACTACCAGGAATAATTCCTGAGGGCGTAACTGGAGTCATTTCTTGAGTATCGCTGGGTGTAGCCAAAAATATGAGGGGGAGGGAGGGAGAGAGAAGAAAAAAGTTCCTTTCGTAATACCCCATTGGGATTTTTCTTCTTTTTGTTACTGTGATACCCAACGAAAGAGGTCTAATGCTATTTTTCTGGTGTTGAAACTGGACCATTTTAAGAACATTGTTGTAAAAAGCAATGCTCTACTTTCAAGAGATCAGAGTTTGAGCACAATATAAGAGGAGGGCAAAAAAGTAGTATAGGAAAAAAAGTGTCATTAACTGTCCCTTCTTCATTCTTGTAAAACTAGCAATCTTTTTTTTTCAGGGGATGAGGGCCACAGACCTTCCCAACAAGGTACTAAGAAGCTCTGTATGCAAGCCATACATTCTCACCCTTTGAAGTAGGTCCCTGACCCAAGCAATTAGTTTTACTACTGATCCTTGTCATTTAAATATTAGCAGAGATAAAGAAAATCTGTTGAAGTGAATAAAAAGGTATATATTATCACTGGCTTCTGGATTTTCTACCTTAAAACTGCAGTACATTCAGAACCAGTGACTAAAAAATAGTCACTGTTTTAATATGAATGTGGGTAAATATGACACATGGTAGGCAGCTGAACCAACTGCCCACTTAGCCAAGTATTTCTGAAAGTGACCCTCTTAGAGGAAGGAAAGAAGGAATTTAGTTAAATGTCGCAAGTGGCCTACTCTCAAGATTCTAAGAAATCAGAAAGCTGCAGTTTAAATTGCTGATTGTACTTTTAACATTATGTGTCATCTGGTGCAACTCTTCCTTGGGATGAAGGATGGGAAGAAATGCGTAAAACTAAAGTTTAATATCACTATATGGTAAAGTAGAAAGATGTTTGTAAAAGGCTCTGTCAAAGAAACAAATCAGAGGTTATTAGTTTTAATACCATAAACACCATGTACCACAGAACTGAAAGAAAATGAGTCAATGAAAAGTGACAGCATCTCTTCAAGTACCAACAGTTGGAATGTCCTCAACTCTATATTCTGCTCTGAGTCTTCCACCTAGAAGCCCTCAGCATGTCCATCTGGGACAAGAGCACTAACTCGGCTCTCATCTATAATGAAGGCCAAGCACTGAATTGGTCCTCTGGAACAGATGCTAAGAAACACTAGAAGGGAAAAGAGGTCAAGATATACTTTCTGTCTTGAGCGAAAGAATGGGTTCAAACCAACAGAATACATACGACTTTCGTACATCTGACAATAATAACAAAGATACAATGACCTATAAAATGGTATTTAATATATGTTCCAGGATGGTCAAATAGGCTGGTTAGGTAATTAGCCCTTAGAGAGTTCTTTTACAGTCATATAAAAATGTGTTTCCTAGTTAAAAAAGTTTAAGATAACAAAAACATATCCACCAATGGGCTTATATTTTCCTTCCATTTGCAAAAACCTGAAGGCTTGCAAGATAATTAAAAATACACACATATGCATCTTTGAACATACTGCTGTCCATCAGCTGATCAGTTTTGGCAACACACTGCACAGAGGTATCCCGCCGTTGCTTTCAGATATTAAGTTAGCTTTAAGCTTATTGGCTATTCCAACAACTGGAGGCAACCTAGAACCCAGACCCTGGAAAGCATTAGCAGGATTTACTACTCTTTTCCTCGACACCTTTTCAATGGTGAGAGGTTTGGGTACTGATTTGTTGATCCAAGGGTGTCTTAATGCTTGAACTGGGGTCAAGCGGGCAGAGGGGTCCCAATGAAGACACCTTTTCAAAAAATCTATAAACAAATAGTCATCACACCCTTTCAGTGCTGTGATCCAGTCTTTGCTTCCTGGGGGACCCCGCTTTTTACCCCGACGGGAGCGACTCCCCATAAGCACAACCCTCCCATCTGCCTGAGTAGTTACAGAACAGTAGCGAGGTAGGCCCTTGGAGTTAATAAAGTACTTGGCACGTTTGGATTGCTCCAGAAGTTTTGACGGTGGCATCCCTAGAAGCTCCATCATACAGGCCAACTGGTCTCCTTCATCCTCTCCAGGGAAAAGAGGTTGTCCTGTTAAAAGTTCGGCAAGGATGCAGCCAAAACTCCAAATGTCAATTGGTGTGCTATAGCGATTTCCTAAGATGATCTCTGGAGCTCTGTAGAACCGAGACTGGATATATGTATAAAGCTTCTGGTACTCAAAACAGCTAGACCCAAAGTCGATGACCTTTGTTGCGCTGCGGCCATGGTGTTTCAGGAGAATGTTTTCTGGCTTCAGGTCGCAGTGAATGATCTTATTTTTATGAAGAGCATCCAAGGACTGCAAGATGGATTGAGCAAACTTGCGAACTAACTGGATGCTAAAACCCTGAAACTTGTTTTTTTTAATTAGCTCATAAAGATCTATGCTCAGCAGTTCAAAGGCCATGCAGACATGGTTCCGAAATGTGAAACTTTCCAGCATGTGGATAACATTCATGCTACCAGTTTTATCCTGTTTTTTAAGATGCTCCAAAATTCGGATCTCCTCAGCTGCTTGACGATGGAAGCGTTTTTCATTGCGCACCATCTTAAGGGCCACATATTGTCTGAGTTTATGATCATAGACCCGGGCTACCTGCCCAAAACTCCCCTTGCCAATAATTTTCAACACCTCGTACCTATAAGCGAGGTGGTCTCGAGGTACATGAATATAAGCTCCATCTGCATCATCATACCCTGCATTATTGGGACCACCAATAACTCCATGTCGTTTTTTGGCATTTGGACCCACAAAGTAAATTTCTGGATAATTGATGATTTCAAGCTTCTCATAAGCAGTGAGGAGGTGTTTGTATTGTTTCAGTGCTTGTTCTGGAGTCAGAGGCACTACTTTGGATGTTTTGGATGAACTGCTGGATTTTACTGTATTCCCGCTATCTGAACTTTTAGTAGGAGAACATTTTTCAGAGTCATTTTTACCCTCTGACTGAAAAGTTTCAGATCTTGTATTGTCAAACTCTTGAAACAGCTGTTCTACCTTCATCTCACCTCCATTAAGAAAGCGCTGAGTATGATCGCGTGTTAACTGTTCAGTAGTGATCTAGGAAAAGAAAGTAAATATGAATGTGAAAGTCACTAAAAACACCGAAAGGATAGAAAGATCCATCCCCAATAACAGAACATGTCCAGTCATATAGTTTTAAATGACCCAGGAAGGAGATAAAAGTCTCTAGAACCTTGAGTTATATTAATCTTCAGACTCCCTTTATATTGGTCACCTCCATCCCCACAAATACTTGCTTTAGTAAGAAAGGTTTCTTATCATATATCCTAAATATGCTAGGTTCCTTCATCTTTCTAATTTTTGAGTGGGAGGGGAATGCCAGGGATCAAACCCAGGGCATTTCATGTATGTGGAAAAAGCACTTTACCACTGAGCTACGCATTTAATATCTGTAGGTATGCCCTACTACTGATTTTTTTATCCCCCCCCCCCCATTCAAATCCTCTGTTCAATGAAACTATGTTAAGCCCATACTGATTTTTATTTTTATTTATTTTTTTGCTTTTTGGGTCACACCTAGCGATGCTCAGGGGTTATTCCTGGCTCTGCACTCAGAAATTACTCCTGGCGGTGCTTGGGGGACCATATGGGATACCGGGGATCGAACCCAGGTCGGCCGCATGCAAGGCAAATGCCCTACCCGCTATGCTCTTGCTCCGGCCCCAAGCCCATACTGATTAACCTAAAATCTTTAGTGTAGCTTTATGAGTGGTATCACATAATTTAGCACTTAGTTATGTGTCTGTGTGTGTGCGTGCACACACACAAGTATATACAAACTACGCTATATTGTTTACTTCATTTCTCCCCAAATCTTAAAGCAGGATCAATATAACGTAAACTAAAATGTTGTGTAAAATATAAAGTACTATTAGGGAACTGAGGGACAATTTCTTTTTTCTTCTTTTTTTTGAAAGATAATTTTAACCCAGGTCTTTTTGTTTCTTTCTTTTTTTAAAACCCAGGTCTTCTATCATTCTAGGGCCATTCACAAAACTAGAACTTGACCCCAGGTTTGCTTGTATCTACACTACTCTCCCCAGTAGGGCTGATTAACAACCATGGTCAGGAATCAACCAAAGATTCCTGCATCGGCTACAGTAAAGTATCCCATATAAATTACTGCAGTCTACAAGCTCAGGTTATTAAAATTTAAGCAAATAGAAATTAAACCAAAAATTGAGTCAGAGGGAATTTGAGATATTCTAAGGTTGGTGTTTTAGTTATAGTAAGAATCCAAAGTTGGGGGAATGCTGCTTCCAAACATCAAACTAAAGAGAGATTTAAAAAAAAAGAAAGAATATTTTTCCTCCTCTCTTCTCCCCAACCCACCCACTCTCATTTACACAGATACTCCTTCCCAGCAAAAGACTACATGACAAAAGCATGTGTGTGTGTGTGTGTGTGTGTGTGTGTGTGTGTGTATATCAAATATATATTGCTTTTTGGGTCACATCCTGTGATGCTCAGGGATTATTTCTGGCTCTGCACTCAGAAATTGCTCTAGGCGGTGCTTGGGGGACCATATGGAATGCTGGGGATTGAACCTGGGGTCAGTTGCATGCAAGGCAAACACCCTACCCACTATACTATTGCTTCAGTCCCAAAGACATAATTTTTATTTGATTTTGCTTACCCTTTTCCTGAAAGGAAAAAATAACCCTTAAAAGAAAGTTCTATTGAATTCCTCTGAAATGAAACAAGATTCTTTGAAATAAAGAGGAACAATAACAAAAACAAAAAACAACCACTTCAACAACACGCACACATACACACCACATATACTCACACCCAATACCATAAGAAACATATAAGAAGGGGATTGAAGGAAAAATGTTGAAATAATTTTTTAAAAAATTCCTGTAAGTCTTAAAGAACATCTTTTTTTCTCATTGAATATTTAAGAATTATGCTTCTCCACTGTTTTATAAAAGCCTCTTAAGTATTTCCACAGAAACTAACCTAAAGCTACAGATCTTTAAAAAATAGAATTTTAATATAATCTGCATAACATCTGATCTGTAACTAAATAACATAAAAAACAAAAATAAAAATAATAGAATGAAGGGCTGGAGCAATAGCACAGTGGGTAGGGCGTTTGCCTTGCACACGACCAACCCAGGTTCGAATCCCAGCATCCCATATGGTCCCCTGAGCACTGCCAGGGGTAATTCCTGAGTGCAGAGCCAGGAGTAACCCCTGTGCTTCACTAGGTGTGACTCAAAAAGCCAAAAAAAAAAAAAATAATAGAATGAAAATAATTATTGGCATACCTTATATAGTTCTTAACCTAGCCACCAAAATAGGACATTAATTCCTGCCCTTTTTGTTTTGTTTTGTTTTTTGGGTCACATCTGGCGATGCACAGAGTTTACTCCTGGCTCTGTATTCGGGAATCAACCCTGGCGGTGCTCAGGGGACCATATGAGATGCTGGGAATTGAACCCGAGTTGGTCGCATGCAAGGCAACCACCCTACCCGCTATGCTATTGCTCCAGCCCCCTGCCTTCTCCTTTTTAAGTCATTTAATCAACTTAAATTATGTATAGAATATCAGTTACACAAAAATAAAGTATTACATGATCTTTAACAAAAGTGAGACCGTCAGCACAACAGACATCACACTTTAGCATTTATTTTTAAAATAGAGAGCTAAGCTTTAGACTAGGAATATTATTTCTCTGATACCAAAATAGAGAACTATCATTTGTCAAGATAATAAAATAGGCCTGCAGACAGAACCTTAAGGGGCTAGAGAAACAGTACCATTGGTACAGCATTTGCCTTGCATATGGCTGTCCTGAGTTTGATCCCTGGTACCCTATATAATCCCCAAGCACCACCCTGAGTGCAGAAACAGGAGTAAGCCCTGAGCACCACTGGGTGTGATCCCTCACCCTCCCAAAAAATTAAAATAAAATTTAAAATACCTTGCTAAAATGTACATATGTGACTTTTTTTTTAGTAGTAATTAAATTAAATGACTATTCCTATGTTTAGGGACTTAAAATCAGAAGTGGGTCCCCATCCATCCAACATTTACATGAACCCTTAGGATTTGCTATTTAGAACTTTAACAAATTGTCTTTAAGGAACCAGCTTTTTAGATTTGGCTGAATTAGGGAAAACTGCATGAACCCTAGCCAGTCTTTTTTAAATTTTGTACTGCCCATCTTTAATGCACATAAGGATTTACTATTAAAATTTGAAGGATACATTCTACAGAAATCTAAAGTCAGAAGACCTTGGTGAGGGTGATGGCGATATTGCTTAAAATCTGTAGGTCCCTGTGCAGGTTGCTTAACCTTACCTTGGTATCTTAGTCTCAGTCAGAGACCTTAACCATGTTTGTTTGTTTTTTTCCTTTCCTTTTTGGGTCAAATCTGGCGATACACAGGGGTTACTCCTTGCTCATGCACTCAGGAATTACACCTTTTAGTGCTCGGGGGACCATATGGGATGGTGGGAATCAAACCTGGGACGGCCACATGCAAGGCAAACTGTACACGCTGTGCTATTGGTCCAGCCCACGTTAACCATGTTTTATCTGTAAAATATGGATAATAATATCTACTTGCAGGATAGATGGTATATGAATCAATATATAAATGTATATGTGGGAAACCCTCATAAACTATGACAGTTTGTAAAACACAGCTGATAATGGGGCAATATTCTTCATATACTAAGGTTTCAACTCCTATTACCCTTTCAGTTGATTACTTCTCTTTGTGGCACCTTCCTCCTCATTTCCAGTCTTCTTCCGCCAGACATCTGGCATGTAATATGCCTTCTGTTCCATGAGAACCCCCGCAACAGGCCTTCCCTTAGGATGCAGAGAAACACCTCACCCATTTTCTCCCCCATATAAACCCTGCTTTCAACTTTCTATACAATTTAATGTGTTACCTCTCCAGACAGATCTGAACTTTAACAGAAGATCAATGCCTTAACACAAAGAGAAGACTCTCTAGGAACTGCAGTCATCAATGAAAAGCTGGTAGGAAAGGTATTTGTGGTCCAGGGTCCATCCCTGGGTATTTCACCTACTCTGCCTACATGTAAGGCTGTGCTGGCTCTGGAGATCTTCATTTCTGTTTGTGATAAAGAGAGCATCTCAGGTACAGAACACTGATCAGAAAAGATACAAAACAGAATTTTAATTTCTACAGCACTATTACAGTAGGATTAAGGATGTCATCATTTGGATATCCTGAATCATTTTTCCTTAAAGTGAGTCTAAATTCCCCCTCTGAATACCATTTTATTTTGTCCTCTGAATGATACAAAAGAGTCAAATCTTAGGTAAAAATCCCTTCAAAATACCCTCAAGTTGCCATCATCCCCATTATAATCTCTACCTCACAGTTTCTCTCAGGTTCCCTTATTCTTCATGTCTCTTGAAATGTGCCTCCCAGAACAGAACACAATATATCTGGTAGAGTCCACTATGGATTACCAAGGTTGAATTTCCAGTATACCTAAACAATTGCAGAAGAATTTTTTCCTCACAGGGAAGGTTTGTCTTTATAACTTTCCTTCCTTCATTCCTTTCAGTGTAACTCCAATATTGATCTAAATCAATTATGTTTCAAATCTACTGTGCTACAAATAAGTCTTCCTTCTAATATTCTAGGAGAATCTAATTTCACATATTAAAGTATAATAGCACAAAACACTACAGATGTCTAGTCTAAGGTCATAATCAAAATAACCAAATTACATATGACTAATTATGCCAAGTATTTTGTTAACTAATTATATGCAGAGGCAGATAATGCCAGATTAACCATATTTTGAGAATGCTTCAAATATATTGTTAATTTACAAGGCTCTTGACATTTCAAATAGAATCTGTCTTAATGAAGTCCTAAAGATCTTGTTGAGAAATTCAGAAAAGGAATTTCTGTAGATATAAAACACTACACTTTTCCTAGCTCTTGAAACAAAACCTCTGTAACACAAAGTTTAAAACAATAAAAGTTCTTGAGCAGATGATTTATAATTTACAATGAAAACGTATGCACATACTTGATAAACAATGAAACTAAAAGACTTGTGAAAATAAACACAAGGTCTCAGGATGAAATAAAGACATGCTGAACTCTGTCACCAAGAGGTAAAAAGGCATGTTTCCCAGAAAAGTTTTCAGAGACACTATAGGTTTTAGTGTTACAGGTTTTATCATCTAAAACCTTACTTCAGAAACACTGTTACTGGGGCCAGAGAGATAGCACAGTGGGCAGGGCCTTGCACACAGCCAACCCTGGCATTCCATATGGTCTCCTGGGCACCACCAGAAATGATTCCTGAGTGCAAAATCTAGTAATCCCTGAGCATCACTGGGTGTGCGCCCAAACCAAAACCAAACAAAACAAAACTGTTACTCTGAATAAGTGTTTGGTTATTCAGAGTATATATTTGGTTATATAATCTGGGTGTGATTGAAAACCAAAGACAAACAAAACAACTGTAACTCTGAATACTATCCTGTAAGAAAATAACTCTGATACTAAAATAGATAATTTAAAATATCTGTAATTTAACTGGCTTATTGGAAGGTGATTAGTATTAATTATGGTAACTTAAAGTAAAAATAAATGTTTATGCACCAACCCAATTGTAAAATGTTTCCAATAGATACTTGCTAATTGATAATAAATAACCAAGAAATCTGATGGTTAATTGATGAAAAATGTGCTTCTGGGATTCTTAAACTTTTTAATATATTAATGAAATAAGCAAACAAAGAATGGAATGGACACCTACTGCACTTCAGAGAAGAAATTAAGTATACAATGACCAGCCTTTCAAATATATTTAACCCATATTTTATAATATTATTATCCTTGAAAATAGTGAAAGATAAATGTTAAATATCAAAAGCTGATGAAAGTTGAGGACTATGAAAAATATAAGTAATTTTTCCTAAACACTTCTAGACTTTAAACAGAAATATGGAGGAGTTATATAATAAACAATCTACTAAAGAATTCACTTTAGTCATTATCAAGTAAAAAGCAAAATTGAAACACAGGCAAGATAGCTGCTCTTGTCATGGCAATCACCCAAAAACCTAATCTCCCTATGAAATCTGAGGGAAGGTGAATTAGTTTTTTTTTTTATTACATTAAGTAAAAGTGTCAAAAGCTCAATATAGGGCTGAGAGATAGCTCAAGAAGCTGAGCAGAATGCTTTGCATGCAGAAAGTGCTTGTTAAAATCCCTGCACAAACCTGGGCACTACTGGGTGTGGGGAGCACACACATGCACAGACACATACATACACACGCTCTGTTAGTTCATAATATCCATAATTATTAAATGCCAACCAAAAATTCTTTAGCATCTTAATAATCTAGGAATACTCTTCTACCTTGCACAAAAGAAATCTGCAGATGCACAATTCAGGAATACTTCCTGTTTCTTGTTTTTGTTAAAAGAAGTCCTTGCAATCCTTCATACATATAATCCTATTAAAAATAAGCATTACCCAGCTGAAAGTAGCACATTGGTTTTCACCTAAGTGATAAAAAGGAAGAGGCAGGTTCAAAATCATAAAATGCTCAATGTGATTAAAGTGTTATTCGTAAATCAGGAGGAAAAAGGAAGTCTGCCAGCGAGATGTAACTGCACATTAGATATGTATACTGCCTCCTTACTAAGATAATTAGAGCAAGAAGAATTACTTCATTCACTTACATTTAGTCTTCTGGGTAGAGGTGCTTCAAAAGGGTTGCAGAGAACATTTGAACAGGGTGGGCATTTGGTTTCATCTATCATCATGAAGGTATCATAGACACCATCCCCCAATCTAGTTGAAAGGATTACAGATAAAATCTGTCAGTAACGTAAGTACATACATTGGTACTTGCAAAATGCCCCGTGTCTTCATGTCTGCTGCACAGAACAGTTAATACAAATAGAAGTCAATACTGAATTTTGGTATTGAATCAAAAAACTGGGATTATTTTGTAGAGGAACCAAGGAAATCAAATTTTTCTTTTTAAAGAGAAGACAGTATTTCTAAGGCTTACACTCTATAATGAAGCAATCTATAACTCCCAAATATCGTTGTAAATGGACGTTATTATCTAAAAGATCTAAATTTACTATTTGAAAATAAAGGCTAGTTTCAATCTGTAGTGTGAAAATTTAACTTGTATAAAGGGGTGATTAAAATTTGAGAAGTAACTGTTTTCAAAGTCAGAGACTCGGATTCTAATTAGCACCACAAATGCATTACCTTTATTTCTGAGCCTGTTGTCCCGGGTTTTAATAAAAATAGTTTCAGCCCACAGGTTTTCTTGGGTCATGACTGACAGGTAAAAAAACAAAAAAGGTGTTCTTGGAGCTCTTCATATTTATTTACCTACCTGCTTTTACACTAGGCATGCAGAAACGAACACGAAAGGGACTCCCTAAATTACACATGCAGTGAATTTCACTTTTTTTTTTTTTATCCTCCTCTCTCTGGTCAATTGTGGAAGCCAAATGCTAAACGGAGGCCAGAGAGCAGCGTCTTGGGAGTCCACCCTGAGCACCGCTGGGCGTGGCCCCCAAACAAAAACAAACCGAGAACAAACGCTGCTAAAATGGTTCAAGATCGTTTCTCCGCGCCTCCACCACTGCGAACAAATACAAAAGAGGGGAGCGGATCTCCTCCACAACATGGCTCTGAATAATGGACTTCATCTGCTGCTACCCAGAACGTGATTTTCCAGTTACCGCATTTCATTGTATCAGTTTACCGTATGTGCTATGACTATGAGGAGGAGGAGGAGGAGGACAGGGCTGCAGGGGAAATATATTTTCTAATCTTTTTTTTTTTAATGCTGATTTCCGTTGCCTTTAAAAACTATTTTGGAGATTTAGTTCTAGTCTTTTTTTTTCCCCCACCGGGGGCTGGAGGAATAACAGAGGGAAAGAAAACAAACACACAAAAAACAAACAAAAAATCTCCGTACAGTTTTTCTCTTCAGAATGTTCTCTTAAAAACATGCTCACATTCCGACAGAATTATTTTGCTCTCTCCCGAGAACAGCTTTCACTGACGAGGATCGAAAATTTAAAAAAAAAAAGGAGAAAAAATTCCGAACGTCGTAGACGGGACTCGTTGCCCACGGCGTGAAATCAACAAACCGGCGGGACGGGATGGTCTCACGCTTTGCCCCACCGCAGAAAACGCAGCCAAGTCCGCGGGGATCCCTGCGGGGGCCCGGGGGGAGGAGGGGGAGGGGTCGCCCACCGAGGGGGCCCCCTCACTCCCCAGCCCCCGGAGTTGGGCTTCCGGCCGCCCGGCCCCGAGCAACAGGGCTGAGTGAGGGGCGCGAAGGCTCCGCTCCGCCCCCCGCCCCCGCCCCCACCCTCACCCCCGGTCCCGACTGACCCCGACGAGCCCCGGGTCCCCGCGGGGAAGCGGCGCCCGGCCGCCGAGCCACGGAGGTGCGTGTGCGTGGGAGGGTCCCCGGCCAAGGCTGCTCGGACCCCGTCCGCGTCCCCGCCCGCGCCGCGACCCGAGCCTCGGAGCCGCTCGTCCCGCAGCGCCCGCCGCTCCCCGGCGCGCCCGCAGCCCGTTAGCCCGCGGCGCCGTTACCTCCGCTGCTGAGGCGGGAGTGCGGCCCCCGGCGGCCCCGCATCCTTCCGCCCGGCCCCGCGCGCCGCGCCGCCCATTCGCTCGCTCGGGACGCCCCGGCCGAGGGGGCGGCGGTGAAGAGGCTCCGCGGAGGGCGCCTTCCGCCAGCCCGCGCCCCGCGCTTGGACGCTTTCCCCCCGCCGGCCCGCTGCTCCCCAACCGGGAACGCCGGGTCTGACTCGGCGGCTCCGCGAGCCCGGACGCCGACTGGCCCGGGCCGGGGCCGGGAGGCGGGGAGGAGCCGCAGAGGGGCGGGAGGAAGAGGAGGAGGAGGAGGAGGAGGAGCAGCAGCAGCGGCGGGGTCGCCTGGCAACCGCGGCCCGCCCCGGGAAACGCCTCTGCGCCGCCGCGCACTAACTGACGCACAGAGGGGAGGGGGCTCGGGGCTCGGCGGCCTCTGGCCTCCAGTCTGGACGCGGTTGGGTCCCTACTCCAGCCTTTCCTCACTGAGGGGCGCAGGCTCCCCTCCCCACGCTTTTAATGACGTTCAGGCACGAATGGAAAAAAAAAAAAACCCCACCAAAAACGTGTCCCTTCTTCGGCTCGCCCACCACGGGGCGGTCTCCGTTAAGGGGATGAGCTCGGTGCAAAGGGATCGCCGAGCAACCCTTGAGGGGGCTCCTGCTGTGACGAACACGCCTCCTCTCCCGTCCCCGAGGCTGCAGAAAGCCACGGGGGGCTGGCTGGAGTTGCCCGCGCCCCCGGGTCCCGCTCTCCTGCAGTCCTTGTGCCCTGGCAGAGCGCGGTGTCCCGCGAATTTCCAGAGTGAAGGCGGCAGGGAGAGGGGGTGCGGGCTCCAACCAAGGCGCAATCTTGTTTTTGCTTTTGTTTTTTTTTTTCTTTTCGTTGAGTCTGGCGTCCCAAGTGGAATTTTCTAAACCTCCAACGCCCCGTGGCCTCAGACGGGCGGGCACGCGGCGTTCTCAGACGCCCCAGACCGGCGGGCACGCCGCGTTCTCTAACGCCGCGCGCGGGCGCCACCTAGCGGCCCTCAGGACTCGCCGGCCCCACACTTCTGGTCAGAAAACGGATTGCACATCAAATTAAGTTCCTTTATAAATGAAAAAATATATATATATATATATATAGGTTTGGGAACTTTATTCTTTATAATGAAGATTAATATAAATATCACGTTTTCTTGTGTGTGATTAAATTTTTTTTTCTAATTTTACAAGGACGCTTTCTACTTTTCTGCCATCCAGAACAGTCCGACTTTCAGATGGATTTTGCATCTGAGCTTCTATGGAAACTTTTGTTTCAGAAAAGAGTTTCGAGGTAACCAAGGTTTGGGATTAGAGCATTGCTGAGGTCCTTTCCAGTTTAAAATTGCACTATTCAATAAAATTATTATGTACACACCTCAGCAGACACCTCAACCTTCTGATAGTACTCGCCCCGAAAAGAAGTCTTCCCTCATTCAGAATCATTACTTTGGGAGAACTGCGTCTTTTGTAGGTCTGTGTTTCAGATTTATTTCTGTGAGCTAATTCTGAAGTATTCCTCTTCCTTTCTTGGCCACAAAGTGGAAAAGACAGAAGCTTCCCCATTTGATCCCATAATCACGATCACGACCATCCTGTTGTTCATAGGTTGCCTCCAGCAGGCCCCAGTAACATCTCCTTCGTCCAAGCCCTGAGATTTTTTAATAAGTGCCATATTCAAGGCTCTTTCAGGGTTAGGAGAAAGAGACCCATCCTTGTTACTGGTATTTGGCATATTGCGTCTGCCACCGGGAAGTTTGCCAAACTCTGCCGTGTGGGCAGGTTACATTCGGTAGCCTGCCAGTTTGTCCAAAGTAGGAATGAGATAATAAGATGTCGCTAGGCCGCAAATGCGGCTGTGCTTCCGGGAGCTGGGTTTGTAGTCTCTGAGTCTTGGCCGTTGATGGGATTACATGGCGCCAGGGGGCCAGTTGGTGGGTGTGAGCCCTGCCTACTGGAATTTGGAGGATCTGGGTGGAGGATGCTCAGCCCCGATCCGAGCAGGCTTAGAGATCTCAGCCCCGGGACCCGCATGCCTTTGTTCCTCTGCCAGTAACTTCATGCGTGTGGAGAGTGGTCTCAGCATGGTGGTGGCTGGTTCTGGAGGTCTTCGGCTGCCGGAGCCCTGATCCCATAATCAAGAGAGAGAAATTCCTTAAAAGTGCTGGAGCTTCAGAAATTCTGACATTAGGGATCAAGTTCATAGAATATTCATATTCATAGAATATATCAAATTCAAGAAATAGTGAATTTCTTCAGAGCCCCCATTCGGGTACGGTGGGTAGGGTGCTTGCTCACTTAGGTTCAGTCCTCATGCATCACCAGGAGTGATCCCTGGTTACAGAGCCAGGAGTAAGCTCTGAACACCACTGAGAATTGCCCCCAAAGCAAACAAAAGAAGCCCCAATTTCATAACAGAATGGCAGTTAAAGCCCAGTAAGAAACTTTGCAGTTTCAACACCAGTTTTTTATTTCTTCCTGCCACCACTTTATTCAAATACTGTGTTTTACAAAATTTTTCATGATGATTTGTTACAGGCATTTATATTCTAACACCAGTTCCACCACCACTGTCACCTTCCCTTCATCATTGTCTTCATTTCCCCAACCACCCCTCAAGCCTGTCCCCATGCGGGCCCACAATAATCTATTTCATGTTGTTTTTAACCATCAACTGGTTAACAGAATGATTTAGAAGTATTTCTTTAGAAGAAAATTTGTGAAAGTGGTTGCATTTCACCTCGAGGACATTAAGTCATTGCCTTAGGGTTTGCTGAGCTGTTGCTACATCCTATCGAATTTGGTACACTATTTCTGGTATGTCAGTGTTGTGGAATTTGGAAATGTCCAGAATATTTCACTGGGTAGTCTTTGAGACTCAGTCCTGAGGTGATAAGAATCCAGCCAGAAGCATGGCAGCACCTTTGGAGTGTGGAAACGGCTGTTGGGGTTTTGGTAAGGCCAGAGCTAACCCACCCCATCCTGAGATGGCCCTGAAGCTTTCAGCTAGGAATGGGTGTCCGAGAAATTTCTGCAGCTAGCTGATTTCTTTCAAGATTTATTTGTGAGTCTCTGGGGCAAGGCTGGTAGATGAGCTTACATGGCAGTGAAGATAGTTCGTGGGCATGGTTGAGGTTATGTTCTTTCTTCCCTTCCAGAGCCCCACTCAAGAATAGTTCAACACCACCATTATCTTTCTCCAAGAAAAGTAAAGCCTGATTTACTTACCATAAATTAGCTATGTATTTGTCTGTTCTTTGAAGCCTGTTCAAATATATCTGCACAATAAGGAATCTGCAACTGAAAAAAAATTCTATTTCAGGATATTTTTTAAAAAATCACTGAGAACTTCACAGTGTGATCACAGCAATTTCAAATGAAAATGAAGTAGGTGGGCCCCCATGGGTAGCTTAGATGAGACAGAGAGAAGAGAGAGATGGTCACTTTCTCCCAATCCGTCTCTGCCACCCCGGGACAGGGTGGGAAGGCTCGGACTGATAAAGTCTAGAAAGTCAGTCTTAGGCCTTACCCAGAGTTTTCAGGTATTTTGTCCTGTCTTGCAGAAAAGAATTTCAGGAGTAGACAAGCAATGAAATGAAAACATTTTATTTGGAGGGATTTCAAGAAAGAGGAAGGAGGAAAGCAGAGAGAGAGAGAGAGAGAGAGAGAGAGAGAGAGAATGCGGGCTTCTCCAAAGACCGAGAGAGCCCCAGTATAGATCTCAAGAGGGGAGATGTGGGCAAGAACATGGACTTGGGTGCCACATGTGTTCAGCTATGTAGGCACAAGCAGCTCATGGGCTCAGGCAGTATATGTGTGCTCTTCCTTGTTTCAAGGTGGCTTTTATAGGGTTTTTCCCAAAGTACCCCATGTGGGGCTTTCTAGCTAGGGAAGAGTCCGTTGCTAGAGTGGTTGCCAAGTGGGGTACAGTTGGGAGTGGTGGATGATGGTCCTCCTTGAAACTTTTTTCTTGCCTTGGTCTTTGTACCTGCTAGAGCTTCTCTCAGAGGAGAGGGGTCATTCAGGTGTCATAAATCTCCTTCAAGTCCTTAACTGCAGTCTCTATCTCTCCTGAAGTTTGTGTCGCTGTGGGGTCCAGCCTCCTTGGGGTCTGTCACTGAAGCTAGGAAGAACTTATGCCTAGGTAGGCCTTAATTCTTACAGCTTTAGGCTATTGGATTTATTACTTATCAGAAATTTCATTTCCTTGGGGGCGTTCCCTGCCTATTTGCCTACATCGAAAATATCATTTGATAATAAAAATATCCTTGGGGCTGGAGCAATAGCACAGTGGGTAGGACGTTTGCCTTGCACGCAGCCAACATGGCCAACACAGGTTCAATTCCCAGCATCCCATATGGTCCCCCGAGCACGGCCAGGAGCAATTCCTGAGTGCACGAGCCAGGAGTAACCCCTGAGCATCGCCGGGTGTGACCCAAAAAGCAAAATAAATTAATAAATAAATAAAATTTTTAAAAAAATAAAAATATCCTTATTGCCTCTTTTATCTGGAATTTTGTGAGCTTAACTCTTGGTGAGTTAAGAATCATTTAAAATCATACATTGCTGAGTTATCCTTTTAGCAGTGGTTCTCAAAGTTGATTACAGATGGGACTCAAACTTTAAAATGCTGAACAAACGTTAAAAAGTACTGAAACCTGGGGCCCATCCTTAGAAAGTATTCTGAAGAAAATAGTTATGACTATTGTCTGACCTCAACTATATTTTTAGGAATATTGGAAATACACTAGGAATTTAAAAAGCTCTCTAGGTGATTTAAATGAGAAAGTTTGGACTTGGGTGCCAAGTCAGCACCCAAGTCTCAGAATCTCAGCTATACAACACGATATGTTATAAAACATAGCGTGACATATGAATTATAAATTGGAATGCATTAAAATTATCTTTAAAACTCTTTTTTCCAAGATTTATCAACCTAAAACTCATCTCAGCTCCAGAAACATGTAGCTGCTATTTTTCCAGAAGCAAATAAATCTCTGTTTTTGTGAAACATTAAAATCTGCATTTCCTTCTCCAAAGCTTCAAAAATTTCTGTTTGAAAATTTTTGTTTTTCTATGAGGCGAGTGCATCAACAGCC